TTCTCGTTATTACGACAGCATGCATAAACGAGTGGATACTAATATTTAATAATATCATGATTGGCGAATAATTTCATATTAATGGCTGTGTCGCAGTTGCATCGAAAAATATTGCCGTTTTTATATCTATTGAAATAAATAGCGAACTAATGAGTACACTTGCGAATGCAAGGAGACAATGTCTAACAGTATCTGGTTGAATTATGGCCGACGCAGACATTTGCATAACATTTTCTGCAAATCAAAGTCGTGATACATTATGGTATATTGTAATTTTATAATAATGCTTATTTAGACATCTGCGTATATATATAACTGTAGTTCTCTATCGAACGCTTATTATTACATATAAAAAGAAGATAATAACGACTGTAATTTGTCCGTGCTTCTTTGGTTTTGTGAAACGAGCGGCATGTATAAGCTCGAGTGCAAGCGTCTATTAAAACCATGAGCATCGTAACTTTGCCCAAGGAGGACCGTGAATGCACGAAAGAACCTAATGCGATTTTAATCGTGCGGTTTGAATTTCAAATGTTATCGAATCTGTCTTATAAAGTGGAACATAGTTGAATAAGCGTATTTTCTCAGTGGCGTATTTCTACGAGTAAGATGTTTGTTTTTAACCTTTCGATGAACAAGCAAATTGAGTCACGACAGGGATTTTATAAATATATCAAAAAGTTAAAAATATTTTTACTGGATCTTGTTAAAAAAAGCTGTCTCAGAGATTGAAAAAATAAAGTCTGAATACAATTTGTATTAATAACTTGAAAATTAAGGCGACAGTCGTCATTAAGCTACTGCTATCTCTTTTTCGTTTCGTCGCATAGCAAATGATACGAGCGGCTTTATAGCTGCGCGTTGTGGTTGTGATTAAACCGTGCCTATAAAACCACATCATAAGAAGTAGCGACCGGTTGCTGAGAATTTCATAATTGGTGTAATTTGGAGTCGGCTTTCTCTTAAAATTTAACGCGAAAAATTAAATGAACGAAAGATAATTTAATTTCGCCGCTAAAGAGCCATTCGCTCAATTTATTTATACAAGTCGCGACATTCGAATTTCCTGAGAATAATTTAAAAACCTTCTTAAAGCACACCGCGATATTTCTCACTACTCGTTCGTTAACTTCCTACGCCCATGGTCGGTGGATACGCGAGCGACGGGTCGAGGTCGCATTAGGACCTAATTTTCCATAATGGAAGAAGTCCGTGGCGTGGTACGGCGCCACTACGGCGAGGCGACCGGCGGCTAATCGTGGTCCATTCATAACCATTCTGGGGGCCCAGTGCACAACGAATGAACGATCGCTTTAATTCCAATCGAGAGATTTGTGCGGGTAATTTAGACGCAATATCCCATGAAACTTGATAACCGATGTGACTTCTTGTCACGTATTTGCATTGAACATTTCACGACGTTAAAACCGCGAAATGACTTTTGGCAAGACTAGTAAAATATTTTATGTGTGATACACTGAAAATATACATCAGACGTATCTTTTTAAATTGCAAACAGCACAAGTATAACTGATGAAATAGTATTGGAATCGGCGTAGTTTCATTTTGACAATTTCGACTTGACTGATATATCGTTTATTATAAATTAAGTTCGGTGAGCACGATTTCGTATTATCCGGATAGATGATACTCCTGAGATATACGTGTCCGGATAATCGATAGATGGACATAGCCAGAGATGAGAAAGGAATGGGTTCGCGGAACGAGGGGACGTTATCGGCCGCCAGCCGCTACGAATCCTGGCGGCGATTATGCGTACATCGCGTGCCACCAGCGCACAAAAGGTGTGACCCGCCCACGCCCTTGCGTATCGCGGAGCAGGATGGTAAGTGGGCGCGGGGGGGGGGGTGCGAAAAGGGATGTTTTACAATGAACTGAACCAAAGACGGGCGTTAACGCTCGCGGCAAGGACAAATGGTGTTGGGCCGAGCGCGTGGAAGCGGTACTAGTAGCTATCGAATTTCCTCGTTTTCAGATTCTCGCGCAAGAACGTTTCTTTGGATTTATCGCGGCTGTAAACGTGAAGCGCGTGAATGCCGAAGATAAATTGTCTTTGGCGCTGATATTTTTCGAGGATGGACATTTAATTCGACGCTAATATACATGGATATTCGGCGTTGAAAAATTTATTAGCGTTGATCGACTACCGATCGTCGACGCGTCTTTGATAGCACGATAAATTGGCGCAACGTACATCGGATCTTCCGATGATGGATCGTTGATTGGCAGAGACGGGCCATGGGGTTGAAAGGGAAATGGGGCCTAGGGGCCCTCACGGGGGCGGATAATGACAGGGCGGCCTCGCGTAGCGAGGATGGTCCGCGGCTGGGACCAGCTCGGCTTTTGCCTCTCACACGGCCATGTGGCCATCGAGAGATGCTGATGGACTAATAATTACCAGGGAACCAGCGCTCCGTGCGTAGCGGCTGGCAGCGTCGAAAATGAAGATTCACCTTACAAAGTTGAAGTCAGATCTTGTCTACTATCTGCTAACGGCGTGCAAGCCTTTGCCGAAACCAGGCCGAAGGTTGCAGGCGCAAGATGATTGCTCATTGATGTGCCGACGTCCGCTATGCTGTTTCATGAGACTTCTACATGTCGGTTGAACGTAATATTTGTTATTTCGACATTTCTAATTATTCTTAAGATATACAAAACAAATGTATTCGTTAAAAGAATTAATTTTACAAAAGAAAATAACCTGCGAAAGTTTAGCTGTTACAATTTGCAATGGCAAATACACGTGGCTAGGTACATATCGCGAAATCACGTCGGAAGTACGAGGCTTTTAAGGCCGGACAGTACGTTTCGCCGCGAAACAGGACTAGGAGAAACTCGGGACTGATTTACGGACTCGCTGCCGCAGTCGATGTGCCAAGGCGTAAGTCGAGATTCTGTCTACATCGTGCTCCGGGATAGAGAGACGCCTCCCCGCCGGCCAGATTTATGGGGTGTTCTGCGGGGAGGAGAAAAGACGACCCCTCCGTAATTCACGCGTCGCTCTTTTTCACCGACCGCGACGTCAGAGGAGCGACGCAAATAAGGCGCACCCTATTTCACAGAAGGGAATCGATCGAAATAAATGTCTTTTCCCGATTTATCCCGTTGCCCCCGATGCTATTGCCTTCTTCCACATATTCTACATATTCCGAGCACATTGCATGCAGATTAGATGATTAATAATATTGAACGAGTTACCAGATGCTGAGGATTATATAAAACATTATGATTATAATTAAAATAATCTCAACATTAAGAACGTATATAATATCAGACATTTTATTTTTTGCATAAGTAGCGGGCGTGTGTGAAGCATTGAAGCAAATTAGGTGTGACATTTAAGCAAGGTGATTCACGAGAATATAGCGCAAAGAAATTATAATTTTTTCATAACCCACAGACGTGGAAAATAATAGAGGTAAATTATCTCGCTTGTGTATCGGTGAGACAAGAATTCCATCGAGATTTCTACATTATACATGATGTAATATATTGTACATTGTAAATGTTTAAGCGGTAGCCGATTCTCAAAGGTTGATGCACGCCACTATAATTATCTATAATAAAATGATAGTAATCAAGTAAAAAACGAGTAAGAGGTTTGTAATGACAATTAACTATCTTACAAAACATACTATTGTGTAGATTGATGTAATATTTGAAAAATTGGAAGATTATGCGAACAGCATCGCAAATTTAATGAACTATAAATCGCACTCGACTCTTAAAAAAAATATCTTTCTCACCTCTTTTCGTGCTGTGCTAAAGTACACGATATGCAGCTGTTTAGTAGCACAATATAATTTTGTTGTACGGCCTGCGGATAGGTGTTACTTAAATATTTGCTTCTAATGGACAAACAGCGTCCTGTCTGATCTCTACTTCCGACGATCGACACGTCTCATCGGATGCACGGGATGTCAGGAAATGATCGAGAGCGGGATGATCGCCGCGAGCGAAACGTCACGGTTTAAACGCGTCGTTCGCTAAATCTAATACCCGGTACGCTATCTTCGTTCCTGAAAGCGCGCGTGTCGGGAATATGAAGAAAGTATTCGGGGAGGAGGTGGGGTGATGCGCGAAAGAAAGTTTGGCGCAAAAGGGGGAAACAATTAACCTGGTCAAGGACCCGCGCCGACAAATTCGCGCTCATGTTCGCTGGAAGTTGAGATCGCGAAATGACGTGCAAACTGAGGGACGCCCTCGTCCGCCCCCCGGCAATACGGTAATCACTATAATTACGTATCGAGCCCTTATATTAATATCCCCCAGCTACGTCTCTCTTTTCATCTTTCTCTACCTTCCTTCTCGGTTCCACGGCGATTCCTCGTTCGTCGTCTTAGCTGCGTGAAAGCCAACTTTTTTCGCAATCTCTCGCGCGAGTCGATCGACCGCGATTTATTATTGGCACGTTTCCTCGCCGATTAACGAGTGCTTTAAGTAAACGAAATCCCGTCACCTTTCTCTCACGCGCGGATCAGCTTGCAATCAAAATTCATTTCAGAGAATTCATTGATCATGCGTTAATGCGACAATTTGCGATTAAATCAAGAGCGCTATCGAAGCGGTAATTGACGTCGTCGGTATTCCTAAGATGGACCGCTATCCATACTCCTATCCGCGAGAAATCTAATTGAGCGATCCGATTGGCAATCGGACGAATCGAATTTTCCGCGAACCCCAACGAATTTCCACCACATTAATCGGAAATGGCTGGTTGTGGCGCTTGGTGATCCCGTGTCGGCCCTCGTGCTAGATGTCGGGAGATGAACAATTAACGAAGGGGCGCTTCGGCACCGCCCAGGACCGTCGCGGAAGAAAGTTACGAAGAGAGTGTCGTCGTGGGGTTGAATCATCCGCAAGCGTTCTCGTGGAGTTTTAAGTCGCTATAATTATTCGTCCTCAATTCCTCGTCGGTTGAACCGAATCTCTCTACCTGCACGTTCGCTTTAAAAGTATAATACGTCTCGATGTCTTACCTCGAAATATTCCGTTTCCTCGACGGGATGTAGAGCCTGTTGCGGCACTGCCGGCGCGATTGTCATCACATTTTGCGGGTGTCCGTTATGCGAATACTGATAAGCGCAATTCATCTTTGATATTTTTGCTTTAAGAATCGCGTGTCTTTATTTTTCAAGAATTCACTGCAATTCTAAAAGATTATTCTCGATTGTGCTCTTCGCGCCGGCCGGCGATTTGCTTCTTCGGCAATCGCGATTCGGCCGGGATGTCCCGTCCAGAGTTGTGCGAGCGAGGAAACGCTTCTCGGATGACGTCTGAAAGTGCATCGGCTGCGGCGGTAGTCCGCTCGGTGTGCTTTGCACGAGCTCTCGTATATCCCGGTAATCACAGTAATTTCTGTGGCTGCCGCTTGGCCGCGGACGAGGTGAAGGAGGTCAGTCGATAACGAGGTCGGTCGAGGGCGACGTGACGAACGCGGATTCTCACTCGTTTGGTGTTGCCCGATATACGCGTCCGGCGCGACGTCGTGGGTTTACAGTCGCGCGGAAGGAGGTAACAATTATCAGCGGGACCGAGATGCACCTCGCGGCGTGCAACAATTATAACTGAGCTTTTTCGTCTCCACGTAGAAGAGGAGCGGCCCGGCTACGGGAGGCGAGCCGAATCAAGTATCTCTTTCTCTCCTTTTCTTTCGACTCTTGTCTTCCTTCTCTTTCTTCTCCCGTCTTCTCTCCGTCTCTCTTTCTCTCTTGCCGTTGCCCGAAGTCGCCCCCCTACTGCGCGAGTTTGCTCCTATCGGCGTGAGTACGCGTCTGTATGCGTGGGTCGTGCGTGCGTGCGCGTGCTCCAGGAGAGTGCGTCGAGTGGTCGTTCCTAAGGAACCTCGCGAGTACGTTTCCATCCTGGAAGGTGTTGCTGGTGGGGCAGAAACAGCGCCCGCCCTCGCAACGCTCTTCCTCGGTACGACCTCGCGATCGTCGTCTAATCCACGTTGCAAGCAACCCTAACGAACGCTGTTCGCTCTTCCCTCACCTCCTCGCCAGTCATCCCCTCGGCCCCCCTCGTTCCCCTCTGTATTCCCTCCTCCTCCCTGGTTATCTCGTCCTCCCTCCATCGCAGCGCATATCGCGCTCCTGACCAATTAAAACGCTCTACGATCACGTGGTTCAGCACACAGCGTCCGCCGCTTCGTCTTCCTCTTATTCGATTCTTCTCGTTCCTCCATGTCCTCTTTCTCGTCCTTTTCCTCTTGCTCCCTCTCCGTTGTCTTCTCCACCTGCGCCTCTTTTCCCTTCTCACGATCTCATTGTCTGTCGCTCCCTCTTTATCTCTCGTTCTCTCCATTTTCCTTCTCTCCTCGTTCTCGCCGTTCGCACTCTCGTACTTCCTTCGGAGTCTCGCGCCAGGGAGGAGCAGTGGGAGGATTACAATGACTATATAGATTTGAGATATTAGTATGTCGTTGTGCTAAAGAACAGGTTTCTCGATTTTACATTAGTTAATAGCGATCCTCTCTACGGAAAATAATACCGTATCGTGTCCAGTGACGCCTTCGTCAATGAAGCTTTCTTTGATACTTTTACGCTAAGCTATACTATAATTAAGCAAATGTTGACGATTTTCCACGCTAATTCCTTTTACCGCATAATTATTTTTCAATACTAATAGCAAAATTCAATTCTTTCTTAATTTCTGCTTTTGTTTGTCGCAATAATTACAAGTACAGCTATTTGCCATTGAGCTATTTTGCAATGTTTACGTTATCGACTACGAACGCAATGATAATGCGGAAACGTTGCTTATGATAACAGAAACATTTGTAAATGGAATGTTAGAGTCAAATAAATAATTTCTTCGCTAATGTACAAGCATTTAACGATATTTCTGGAATCTAATAATGAATAGATAAGCAAGTACGAAATACTGATAAGAAGGACAAATATTATCGACTTAATAACTTGAGACGTTCACGTACCGATGCACTGTACGCAGGTCTTTCTTCAGGCGCTAAATTGATATCATAAATAACAGGATGTAGTGTGCATCATCAAGATATAAATTTTAACGATATAATTATCGTTAATTTGAAATTACAGTTGCAGTCGTTTACGCGATGCATTATTGCCGAGTCAATAATAACGGTTCGGTTGCTCCCATAAACGAGCATATGTACGTTCTCATAAAATACACAATTTTTAGCGCAACTTTGTTTCCCGAGATAAATCATACGTGTTGTATCATTAAAAACATTAATGTGTTCTAAGAAATTTTATACGCAAAAACATGATTTAGTTACTGATGTATCCAATTCGGTACGCAATTTCATCGCTCGCGTCACTGAAAAAAAACATTATATACCATGTATTAGGACCTTGAATAAGTTCTCGCTGTTTTTTTTGTTAAAAAAAACATTAATTTAAAATATAAGGCTTACAATAACTTTACTCAAAGTATTGTCCATCATTAGAGACCACTTTCTCCCATCTTTCTGGCAGTAATTGAATCCCCCGTCGAAAAAACGATTTATCTTTTGACGCAATCCATGAATCGACCCATTTTTCGGTTTCTTCGAAAGAATGGAAGCGCTGCTCGCTCAAACCATGCGCCATCGACCGAAACAAGTGGTAATCCGAGGGGGCTATGTCCGGTGAATACAGCGGGTGAGGTAGAACTTCCCATTGAAGCGTTTCCAGGTAAGTTTTGACTGGTTTTGCCACATGTGGCCGAGCATTGTCATGTAACAAAATGACTTTGTCGTGTCTCTGCCCGTATAGTGGCCGCTTTTCTTTTAGAGCTCGACTCAAACGCATCATCTGAAGTCGATAGCGAGCTCCCGTGATAGTTTCATTAGGTTTAAGCAGCTCATAATAAATTACGCCCTGCTGATCCCACCAAATGCAGAGCAGAAGTTTCGAACCATGGATATTCGGCTTTGCCGACGATGTTGATGCATGGCCGGGCTTACCCCACGTATTTTCTACGCTTAGGATTATCGTAGTGTA